CTCGTCTAACATGCAGCAACTCGTCTAACATGCAGCAACTCGTCTAACATGCAGCAACTCGTCTAACATGAAACATGAAACTACTATTTGAATTTCCTGACTTTCAGAGGAGAATTACTGAATCGAATTCAATCAAAAATTTGGTATATCTGTCTTTAATTTAGTTTTGGTAATTTTTGAGCAAGAGAACTTGATTTACTGGAAAGAAATTCGTCAAAAAAGATCGAATATTCCGAAGCATCGTATAAAAGAAATGTATTGTTGTTACGTTTCAACTCCTTTATGAGTTTCCGTGACAAGTTAATCAAAATAAACTATTGGTCGTGACATTCGAAAATCACTTAGAAATCCTCCCTTGAAAATCCTTACGAGTTAATTAATATTTCTAGCTCGTGATCGACTGACTTGCAGAACAGCGGTCAACGAAATAGAGCATGCGTAGCATGCGAAGTTCATAACTATGGACTTCTGCTGGTAGACATTAATTTGTCACGTGATCAACTAGCTCCGCCCTCTCTTAATTACTTGGCAACAAAGTGACATTGATTGACAGCTGGCACATCCGCAAAGGTCTCTTGGGGAGGATTCTGAAAAACCCTGATTGACAGCTGCAAAGGTCATCGTTCTTTGTATTCAACGGAATCATTCCCTCGAAATGACCTACTGTATCTATCGGCTATCGTCTTTGGCAATGACCACGTTTATTGAAACAGGTATAGTGTCGGCGAGCGAAAACGGTATGAAAACCCTAATGTGCTGAGCTTTAAATCGATGCTTTTTCGCCGAGACGAAATCTGTGTGTTAATACGCAAATATTTTGGTGCCATTAATCGTTAAACAACATAATTTTCATGTCGTTTAATTCATAAAATGATTTTGAAAATAAAAATGAAATTATTTATATTATACATACAGTCATTGCCATTAACGTCGTCCACCGAAAAAAGACATTTACACATTTTCACATTTAGACATTTAGACATTTAGACATTTAGACTACAAGAAATATCACGTGTTTCCTCGAACGTCCTGGCATAAAACAAACGCTGAAATACCTTTTTCCACCTTAAATCCTCACTAAATGGTCGGTTCATTCTGGATTTTCTATTCACGAGTTGAATTTTACATTCAAAGTTCAGGCTGACGAACACGTGGCAAAGAATGCATAATTTAACACGTGATATTTCTTTTAGTCTAAATGTCTAAATGTGTAAATGTCTAAATGTGTAATGTCTTTTTTCGGTGGACAACGTTAATGACATTGTGTAATCATAATTTTAGCCATTTTATGATTTAAACATAATAATTTGAGTTACATTTATTGTCTTTGAATAATTTTACTCAAACCCGACCAACTGATTATTAGTTCTTATGATTTTACAGAAAGTTTCATGTCCTGCTTATAAGCATCTTCAAGCTGACTTGCTGGGTGTTTACTGCGGCATGATATCCGTACAGCTGGTATCAGCTTTGCTTGTTGTTGGTAACCAGTAACTATTCATATAGGTATAGTACAGATATCCTCTCCAAGGGTCTACTCTAGATCAGTCTATTAGCGGTCTATTAGAGATCTGAGTAGCGGTTCATTGTCAAATGATACGGCATTTGGACTATCTTGAGATTGTCAAGTATCTTCCTAAGTAGCTTGAACTTCAATGCTGTTTTGTTTTGAACAAACAAGCTTTAAAAACCTGTTTCTAAAAGGCTTGTTTAGTATGTCATATAAGAATGGATTAATTGCACTGCTAATGAAGGCAGTATATACGATAACCATCTCCATCGAACGTGATAAATCAATATAGATAGCAACGTGGAAGAGTACTGAGCATGGAATCCAACAGATAGCGAACCCACAAACTAACGATAGCAAACACCTTGTAACATGAATCTCTTTCTTGACTAGAAAAGACCGATTTTGTATTGCATCAGGATTGATTGTTGTGGATGGCGGTGTTGGTTGTCCGGTCTTGACCACAGCATATAGCTTCCAGTAGCAGATTCCAGTCAGTGCTGATGGTAATATTACCAGGAAAAAATGAGAAAACGCCGTGATAATGCTTGATGTTGCATCAGTGCATATGATAAAATACACCACCCTTCCTGGATAAAACGTTGTCTCGATAGCGGAGCTTAAATGCAAAACAAGAAGAAAGACGAACAGAAAGATCCAAACACCGATAACTGTTCTCTTCACTGTTGAGCGATGAAAGTATTTTTTGTAGAGCAATGGCTTGACGACCCAGAAAAATCTGTTGATAGCGATCAAAGAAGTAGTGTAGAGGGAAACGAATGCTGATTGTGCAAAAATCCATCCAACGAATTTGCCAAGCTTGTCCGCGAAAATGTTCCGTCCATTAGCGGATGTTAAGACCGATGTTGGCATCACAAATATCGACAATAGCACATCAGATGTTGCGAGGGATATTAATTAAGTAAAGGCTTGTGGCACTACGGAGACGCGGTGTTTTGTAAAGCACAACCAACACGCAAGAATTACCAACGAAAGCTGTCACAGTAATCAGGATTAGAGTAGTGGTCTCTAGGAGGATTAAGGCAAATGGTCTGTTAGCTAATTCAGAGGTGAGTTTTTCTGTATGTTCTTGGTCAAACATGTCGCTCTGATACTCTATGAAGGTCGATACACAAATTCATTCCCAGCGGAGATAGATTTACTAGCCAGCCGTGAGATCAAATCATATTCACGTGAGGTAAATTAAGTAGGCTTGATAAAGTAAATTTTTCTGTATGTTTATAATTTCTAGAAATCCTCTTGTCCTTCACAGTGAGTCAAGCCTGACGCTAATTGAAATAATTAACGCTAAAGCTAACGGTCTTTGCTTTACCTTTGATGTTAGCCGAACCAATCCGGAGTCAGGTACACAGGTCGGTATTTTTTCCCGCAGACGGCAAACGTGACCACGTTTTCATCGTTTTCCTGTATTTTACTTTACCTTTTATAAAACTTTCTCACTACACACAAATAATCTTTTGTTATTCTACTACTTGGATTCTTTTGCAATTCCGCAGTTTTCAGTAATGTAAAATACTTGTTCACTGGTCAACTGACGTTTGACGTTTGCCGTGAACGTAAATTCAAAATTCTCTAATGTGACGTCAAAGCAGCTCGATCTGGGGGACAAAACAAAATAATTTCAATCTCCTGAGAATTGGAACCTATGGTTTTGTCTCCCAGATTGAGTTGCATTCCAAATAGGCCCTTTGCAGCTAGTGGTCACGTGCTTGGATACCGCTTAGCAACACAAAACTGGAGAGCAAGCCTTCCAGTAAACAAAAGTTGTAAT